GTCTAGGGTTTAGGGTTTGGGATGGCGAGCTTTGGGTTTAGGGTTTAGGGCTTAAGGTTTAGGGTTTAGGGTTTAGAGGGTTTAGGGTTTAATTTAAGGTTTAGGGTTTAGGGTTTAGGGTATTCAGATGGCCTTCAAAGGTCTTGATGGTCCTCAACTGAATCCCTAAGGTCCTTGTATCCCCCCTCAGAACCCCTATGATACGCTCCTATATGATCCCTTCTAGTTCGGACCCCTACTAAGGGTTAACCCTTAATTGCCTATAATAGGAATATAAGGGAATCCCAAAGGGTTAAGGGTCTAAGGTCCAAGCTAAGTCCCAAGGAGCCTTAAAGAACCTTCTTTACACCCTAAACCCTAAACCCTAAACCAAACACGACCCCTTACAGAAGTTTAGACTATGGCTCATACGGACTTCCAACACTTCCGCGCTGGGCGGGAGCCACCCAAAGGAGGGTTAGGGTTAGGGTTCAGGGGTTTAGGGGTTTAGGGGTTTAGGGTTTAGGGGTTTAGGGCTTTAGGGTTTAGGGTTTAGGGTAGCCTTTGCTTGCATAAAGATAGTCAGAGCCATGTGTTTAGATACCCCATTTCGGGGAAATTGGGCCGGGAAATTGCAATACGCTAAACCCCTAAACCCTTGCCCCTAAGCCCTCAAGCCCACATAAACTTACCATTGCTCAGGCTTCTCAAATCTTCTTAACCTCAAAAGGTTTAAGCTTCAAAAAATAAGCTCAACATGACACCAAAACACCCTAAACCCTAAACCCTAAGTAATGGTAATCAACTCTACACCCCCAAATGCTATCCCCTGAACCCTAGACCCCTATCCTTCCTGGACCGTCAACCTGGTTCTACGCCCCGGCATCTTCACCTTGTAATCCAAACCCCAGACAAACCAACCCTGAACCCTAGACCCTAAACCCAAAACAAACCCTAAACCCAAACCGTTGCCTAAACCCTTAACCCTTAACTGACCGTAAACACAAACCCTTGGAGTGCTTCTTATTTCATAGGGCTTGCCCCGGCCTCCTAGTCTCGGATTACAGTTGTTCGCCCCCGGTTCATCCGCTTCATGACCTGTCCGCGCTCTGTAGGTTGATGGCTTAGGGATTAGGGTCTATTAGGGTTTGTTTAGGGCTTAGGGTTTACAGTCTAGGGTTTAGGAAAGGCTAACATCTTTTTTGAGCTGAATTCCTGTGGCGCCTTTGACCCTCAGACACGTCCCCCACATATTACACCACAACCACTTGGTGTACCAATGACACTGCGGTGCTAATTTCTGTAGACAAGACTGTCCTGAACCCTTAGGTCACCAGGTTGCACAGGGGCCTCAAGCAGGGCGATCAAAGAGCTTTGGGGTGTACTGGGGAGAGTTCTGGAGTATGGGGGATGACCTCCCCCCGTCTAATATCAAATACTCCCATTTTGGTAAACTATACTGTCTTGGGAACATTTACTTTTGGGGGGTGGGTGCCTTTATAACTGAGGCGCCAAATAAAGCTAGGCTACTTATACATGCGCGCCGGCGCCCCATCTTCCACTTCTGCAAAAACTGCCGGCTCTCACACTGTAAAACCAAATAGGATGTGACTTGCGCCCACGGGATTCGTATACAAATACTTCGGGCTTAAATTACATAAGCGACAATCAATTTCTCGCATGTGTTGAAAGGACATGGGTTCCTACTAGGATATATATATATATATGGCAGTTTCCCTAAACAAGGGGACCCCAGTATAGACTCAAAATACTATAATTCTTATTATAGGGCCCCGCAAAATGGCACCCCTAATTTTGGGAAACCCTCATTTATTAGAAACTATTGTGCATCAGGGTAGCCCCTATGTCCACCCGTAAGGTTTAGGGTTTAGGGTATTAGGGTTTAGGGTCTGGGGTTTCGGGTTTCGGGTTTCGGGTTTTGGGCTTAGGGTTTAGGGTTCGGGGTTCAGGGTTCGGGGTTTGGGGTTTGGGGTTTAGGTCCCTTCGTAACCCTAACATTGACAGTAGCTCACATACTAGCTGGTTACTTGGACTTGTAGGGAGGCGCACTGGTGTAGTGCACTCCTGTGCCCCTGCCGCCGAAACCTTTCCAACATCAACTCTGGAACTACCCGAAAAGGCGCCTGGATTACGAAAGATGCCCTCAAAGATACTAGGATCCCTAACATGGTAGCTTCAGTAGGGCTTAAGGGATAAACTCAAAGCCCCAAACCGGGTACCTCAAGATAATTCAGGCTTGCAAAGTAATCAGGGACCACAAGGACAAATGGTATTCAATTCTGGCCTAAAGTTTAGGGTTTAGGGCTTAGGGTTTAAGAGCCCTACGAACATCAATGTCTCATGGCTTTAGGGAGATGATGGGAACTATGGTTTAGGGTTTAGGGCCATAGTCTTTACAATCTTTTCCCAGAATAGCCCAGATATCATCGTCTCTGTATATGGGGGTTTGGAAAATTTGGGGCTCTCTTTTTGATGGCTCCTATAAGAAGTGTCATACTACGTATGCTGTATAAAGGAGACCCTGTTATCTGCAGACTCCCCGTATTCTTATCAAATTACTGTTGCTGGGTGGGGGTCTATCCCAAACCCTAACACATACCCCAAACCCCAAACCCTAATCCCTAAACCCTAAACCCTTATCCCTAAATCCTAATCCCTACACCCTAATCCCTAAACCCTAATCCCTACACCCTAATCCCTAAAACCTAATCCCTCTACCGCGAGCCTGCTCAAACTCTTCGTCGATCGCCAGGTTGGCTTCTACGACGCCCACAGCATTCTCCGCAGTGAATGAACCTTTACTTGCTTTGGTTACCTGGGGAATGGATTGGGTTTAGGGTTTAGGGTTAAGGGATTAGGGCCTAGAGGGAGCTTACGGTCTAAGACTGCAGGGTGAAATGTCCCGGGATTCGGGGACTTCAGTGCCATAGTCGTAACCCCACAGATGGCACGACCCTTACCCCCTGATCCTAAATCCTATTCTGTGCTCGCTGAATGGTTGCAAGGCGGAAACCCCCAAACCCTAAACCCCATACGTACCCTAAACCCTAACCCCTATACCCTAAACCCTAAGCGCTAAACATGAAACCAGAGAGAACCCAGCACGAGGTAGGCGTGCTAGGAAACACTAGTGCAGCCACAACCCAAAAACTTTTCTCGAAGCCGCACACCAACATGGTCAAATGAAGGCTACTGTCCTTTGACTTGCTGGAGTCTACTAGGGAAGAAGGGAATAGCATAATATGGGGATTACATTGGCGTCATAATATTCCCTTTTAAGAACCAGTAAATTGAAAGTGTACTCTAAACCCCAAATCCTAAAACCCTAAACCCTACTAAACCCTATACGTAC